GTGATTCGGAATTCGTGCGTGTTTTTGGCCAAAAATTATCATGGACGTCCGTAAAGACCTTAGTGATGGAGCTAGTTGGTCCCGTGGGGTAAACATGTCTATTTTCAAGTTCAAATAAGCCCTAGAGAAGGTAAACCCCCATTGCCGATTTTCGTATCCTACCATGAATATTAGGTGATCTGGAATTTCGGTATGTTTTTGAATGAAATTTTTTATGGGTGTCTGTTAAGACCTTAGTAATGCAGCCAGTTTGTCCCGATGGGCAAACGGGACCATTTTGTAGTTCAAACGAGCCTAAGAGCAAGTAAACCCCCATTTTGCCGATTTTCGTGTGTTATAATCCATGGATATTTTATGATTCGGAATTTTGGCGTGTTTTTGGCCGAAATTTTTTATGGACGTCCGTTGTGACCTTAGTAATGGAGCTAGTTGGTCCCGAGGGTTAAACAGCCCCATTTTCAAGTTCAAACGAGCACAGACTAGTTAACCCCTATTTTTCTGATTTTTGTGTTCTATAGTTCGTGGATTTTTGGTGATCCAGAATTTCGCTGTGTTTTTGGTTGAAATTTTTCATAGACGTCCGTTAAGACCTTAGTAATGGAGTCAGTTGGTCCCGAGAGGCAAATTGGCCCATTTTCAAGTTCAAACGAGTCCCAATGCAGGTAAATCCTCATTTTGCTGATTTTCGTGTGTTATAGGTCATGGATTTTTGGTGATCCTCAATTCCAGCATGTTTTTAGATGAAATTCTTCATGGATGTCCGTTAAGACCTTAGTAATGGAGCCAGTTTGTCCCGAGCGGCAAAAGGGCTCATTTTTAAGTTCAAACAAGCCTTAGAGAAGGTAAACCCTCATTTTGTCAATTTTCGTGTACTATAGTCCATGGATTTTTGTGATCCAAAATTCTGTCATATTTTTTGCCTAAATTTTTCATCGACATCCATTAAGACCTTAGAAATGGAGCCAGTTGGTCCCTTGGGGCAAACGGGCACATTTTCAAGTTCGAACTAGCCCTAGAGTAGGTAAACCCCAATTTTGCCGATTTTCGTGTGTTATAGCCCATGGATTTATTATTATCCGAAATTCTGGGGTGTTTTTGGCCGAAACTTTTCATGGTCGTCCATTGAGACCTTGGTAATGGAGCTAGTTGGTCCCGAGGGGTAAACGGGCCCATTTTCAAGTTCAAACGAGCCCAGAGCAGGTAAACCTCCATTTTTCCGATTTTCGTGTTCTATAGTCTATGGATTTTTGGTGATCCAGAATTCCACCATGTTTTTTGTCAAAAAATTTCAAGGACATTCGTTAAGACCTTAGTAATGGAGCCAGTTAGTAGCAAGAGGCAAACAAGCCTATTTTCATGTTCAAACGAGCCCATAGCAGGTAAATCCCCATTTTGCCAATTTTTGTGTGTTTATAGTCTATAAATTTTTGGTGATTCGGAATTTCGGCATGTTTTTGAATGAAGTTTTTCATGGACGTCCGCTAAGACCTTCGTAATGGAGCCAGTTTGTCCCGAGGGCCAAAAGGGACCATTTTCAATTTCAAACAAGCCCTAAAGCAGGTAAACCCTTGCTTTGTCTATTTTTGTGTGCTATAGTCCATGGATTTTTTGTGATCCAGAATTTCGGCGTGTTTTTGGCTGAAATTTTTTCATCGACGTCCGTTAAGACCTTAGTAATGGATCCAGTTAGTCCCTAGAGGAAAACGTGCCCATTTTCAAGTTCGAACGATCCCTAAAGTAGGTAAACCCCCATTTTGCCAATTTTCATGTGCTAGTCTATGCGTTATTGGTGATCCAAAATTACGGCATGTTGTTGGCCTAAATTTTTCATGGACGCCCGTTAAAACCTTAGTAATGGAGCATGTTGACCCCGAAGGTAAAATGGGCCCATTTTCAAGTTCAAACTAGCCCAGAGCAAGTAAACCCCTATTTTACCAATTTTCGTGTACTATAGTCCATGGATTTTAAATGATCCAGAATTCTGGCGTGTTTTGACCGAAATTTTTCATGGACGCAGTTAAGAACTTAGTAATGAAGTCGTTTGGTCCCGAGGGGCAAATGAGCCCATTTTCAAGTTCAAATGAGCCCTAGAGCAGGTAAACCCCCATTTTGCTAATTTTCGTGTGCTATAGTCCATTGTTTTGTGGTGATCTGGAATTTCTGCGTGTTTTTTGCCAAAATTTTTCATGGACGTCTGTTAACACCTTAGTAATGGAGCCAGTTGGTCCCGAGGGGTAAACAGACCCATTTTCAAGTTCAAATGAGCCCAGAGTAGGTAAACCCCCATTATGCCATTTTTTATGTGCTATATAGTCCATGAATTTTTGGTAATCTAGAATTCCGACATGTTTTTGGCTGAAATTATTCATGGACGTCCGTTAAGACCTTGGAAATGGAGCTAGTTGATCCTGAGGGGCAAACGGACCCATTTTCAAGTTAAAATGACCCCAGAGTAGGTAAACACCCATTTTACCGATTTTCGTGTGCTATTCATGGATTTTTGATGATCCAAAATTCTGACATATTTTTGGCCAAAATTTTTCATGAACGTCCGTTAATACCTTAGTAATGCAGCCAGTTTGTCCCGAGGGGAAAATGGGCCCATTTTCAAGTTCAAACGATCCCTAGAGCAGGTTAACCCCCATTTTACCAATTTTCATATGTTATAGTCCATGAATTTTTTGTGATCCAAAATTCCAGCGTGTTTTTGACCGAAATTTTTCATGGATGTTCGTTAAGACCTTAGTAATGGAGTATGTTGGTCCCGAAGAGAAAACGGGCCCATTTTAGAGTTCAAACGAGCGACAGAGCAGGTAAACCCCATTTTACCGATTTTGGTGTGTTATAGTTCATGAATTTTTGGTGGTCTGCAATTTCGGCGTGTTTTTAGCCAATTTTTTTCATGGACATCCGTTAAGACCGTAGTAATGGAGTCAGTTTGTCCCGAGATGTAAACGGGCCCATTTTCAAGTTCAAATGAGCCCCAGAGCAGCTAAACTCCTATTTTACCAATTTTCGTGTGTTATAGTCCATGAATTTTTGGTGATCCAGAATTCTATCGTGTTTTTGGCCAAAATTTTTCATTGACGTCCGTTTAGACCTTAGTAATGGAACTAGTTGGTTAAAAGAGGTAAACGGACCCATTTTCAAGTTCAAACAAGCCCAGAGCAGGTAAACCTCCATTTTGTCGATTTTCGTGTGCATGGTCTATGGATTTTTGGTGATCCGAATTCTGGCGTGTTTTTGGCCGAATTTTTTCATGGACGTCCGTTAAGACTTTAGTTCAAACGAGCCCAGACTCCAAATTCCAAAAATGAACTCTGGAAATGGTAAGATTGTACGTACTACTCCCCCAACTCCCTACAGAGGATCCCATAAAAGTTTCGCAAATAAATAGTTTGGAAGTCATATCAACAAAATTTTAATGGGCTATCTCACACGAAAAAAACTTAGAAAACATCTAATTCCTTTAAATTGGTGCCTTAATGCCCAAAATTGACTCTACAAATGGTAAGACTATACATACTGCTCCCCCAACTTCCCACAAAGGGTTCCATAAAGTTTTCGCATAGAAATCGTCTAGAAACTATATCACCAAAATATTCATGGGCTAACACACACGAACTAAGAAAATCGTCTAAATGTTTTATATTGACCCCTAAATGTCCAAAATTGAATCTGAAAGTGGTAAGACTGTACGTATTGCTCCCCCTACTCTCTACGAAGGGTTCTATAAAAGTTTCACCAAAAATCATCCAGGAAATGTATCACCAAAATATTCATGAGCTAAACACACACGAAAAAATTGAGAAATCGCCTAATTCCTATAAATTGTCCCCTAAATGTCCAAAATGGACTCTGAAAATAGTGAGACTATACTTACTGCTTCCCAACCTCCCTAAGGAGAGTTCCATAAAGTTTTCACAAAGAAATCATCCAGAAGTCATATTACAAAATATTCATGGACTAACACACACGAAAACTGAGAAAATCACCCAACTCCTGTAAATTGGTCTCTAAATGGCTAAAATGAACTTTAAAAATGGTGAGACTATATGTATTGTTCCTCCAACACCCTACAGAAGGTATGTAAAGGTTTTGTGAAGAAATCCTCCAAAAGTCGTATCACCAAAATATTCATGGGCTAACACATACGAAAAATTAAGAAAGTCACCTAATTCTTGTAAGTTAGCCCTTAAATGTCCAAACTAGACTCAATAAATAGTGAGATTGTATGCACTACTCCCTCAATTCTCTACGGATGGTTCTATAAAGGTTTAGCAAAGAAATCGGCTAGAAGTCATATCACTAAAATACTCATGGACTAACACACACAAAAATTGAGAAACTAGCCTAATTCCTTTAAATTTGTCCCTAAATGCCCAAAATGGACTCAAAAAATAATAAGATTGTACATACTTCTCTCCCAACTCCCTATGAAGGGTTTCGTAAATGTTTCGCAAAAAAATCATCTGAAAGCTACATCACCAAAATATTCATGGGGTAACACATGAAAAAACTAGGAAAAACATTTAATTCATAGAAATTGGTCCCTAAATGCCCAAAATGAACTCAAAAAATAATGAAATTGTACGTACTACTCCCCCAACTCTGTACGAAGGGTTTCATAAAGATTCACAACAAAAATCATCTGAAAGTCATTCACTAAAATATCCATGAGCTACCACACGAAAAAATTATAAAATCGCCTAATTTCTGTTTACTAGCTCAAAATGGGCTAAAAAATAATGAGACTATACGTACTGTTTCCATAAAACGGAAATAAATAATTGCCAAATTAGGGAACTACTACATCTAATTTCAAATAGCAATCCAAAGGATTAGCTATACCTGGATAAAACAAAACATATAACAAGAATAACCATCCTGTCGATGCTAAATTCCAAGAATTACTAAGAATTATGAGGTTAAAATTTAAAACAAAAGTTCACCCAAGTTTATCCACTTCAAAGACGAACACAATGCCTTCATTTTCACCACTTAAAGATGTGGCTCAAGTGGAGGTGCATTAAGGAACAAAATAAGTTTACATAACAAGAAACCCCTAGAGAAAGTATTCAAGGAGCATAGTTGCCTGTGCATTTCTATCTTTTACTCTACACATATAATGCCTTCAGTTTTTACTACTATTGATTGAAAACAAATGCGGCAAAAAAAGGAAGTTCGATAAAGGATGAAATAAGCAGAAACTGCGAAAACATAAATAGGACACGTCTTCAACACTCCGCAAACCAACCAGCCCACTGTCTATCTACTCATTAAGCCACCCTGACGAATTTTGCTGTGAATAGGGGTGGTAAGGCCTTGGAGCGAAGCCCAATGAGTTACCTTGAAACCCAGGTCTAGCAATACCACCACCGTAGATGTCGCTTCTGCCTTCAGATCCCATGCTACTCATTCTACCAGGATATAACTCATCCTGTGGAGCATACTGTTGCACAGGCATATTGATCCTTCCATATGTTGGATCAGTTGGACTCGGATGGTATCCAGGGCCAGCACCTGCTACATAGTTGCTTCTGGGAGGCAAATACCCATCACACTGCTGCCCATAAAGGTTACCCTGTGGTCGGACATCTGACTCCCTTGCATACATCCCGCCATTTGAGTGACTGGTGTATGGTCTATAACCAGGTATATCTGCATGATCTCTCTGGTATCCCATAAATCTTTCATCTGACGACCTGAATGCATACTGACGACCAGGACTAGAAGACTGAGAATACTGGTGATTTAAGCTTGAATAAGGCTCCTGCATTGGCAAGCCATTTCTTCTTGCCATGTCACCGTCCTGATGTGCCCTGTGCCCCATATATTCAGGACCAGGACCAGGACTAGCAGACTGAGGATATTGGTGAGTTAAACCTGAATAAGGCTCCTCCGTTCGCAAGATGTGCATTCTTTCCAAATCTCTGTCCTGATGTACCCCATACCCTGTCTCTTGCTCTCTCAGTGAAGCAGCAGCACTCTGACCTGCAAAACGTTGATAGTCTTCATTCTCTTCTGCCTTAGAAGACGATATTGTGTGCCGATCAACCGACTTATGATTGGTCACTCTGGGGGAGGAAGACAGAGATCTTTTCCCTATAGACTTGTCCTCTGTTGCCTTTTCATCCAAATCTCTCTTACGTTTCGCTGTGAACTTATCCTGTCTTGATTTTTCATCCAAATCTCTTTGATATTTGCTTCTATCCTGACTCTCTCTCATTGACTTGTTATCAAATTTATTCTTGCTTTTATCCTGACTCCCGTTCTTTGACTTCTCATCAGATTTTTTCTTCCCATGGATCTGTTTATCACTAACTTCTTTTCCACTGTTATTCTGTGATCTCTCCTTGTATTCTTGGTGCTGATGTTGCTTCTTATCCTCAAAACCAGTGTCATTATTGATCCTTGTCGACACATCTTCTTCATGTTTCAGTGAACGAGGGGCAGGTGTGTGGGAGAAATTTTCTTCTAATTTTATATTGGACGGGTGGCCATGCTGTTGAGCAATTACTTTATGGATGGTTGTCCAATCAGTGCGACTCCAAAGATAAAGCGGTGGTGCACTCACATTCCAGTCGTCCATTTGTTTGTCATTTTGATCAACAGACCCAGGCAAATAAAATGACTGGAAAGGAAAAGGATGAACCACCAGACAGTTTACTTCGTATGTTCTTAATAATACATTTGTCTACCAACTCACAAAAAAGGGGAGAAACAGTTTACCTTCCCACCAAGCAACGCATCATCCTCCCAAATTAGATCATATGGAGACCCCTTCTTTACATCTAACCTGGTTCAAATAGAAAAGTTTTATCAAAATCGGAGAGAGAAGAAAGAAGTTCACACAAATAAAAGAGATGCAAAATACCGTTCCGTCTCTTTTGGAACAATGAGGATAAGAAGCTTTGGCTTAAACTCAAGTGCTTTGTTAACAAATTTGTTGGCGAGAGCAGCATTGACCCCAAAAGGAGGGTTCAACCCCATGATCTACACCAAGGGGTAAAAAGTGTAAGTCCAAGCAATGTATGGTGAAACTAATTAATATTGGAGCTGGTATATATCTGTGAATGTTGTGCTCTTAAGAAATTTTGTTTCCTACCAACTTCGATCCTTCCGGCAATTCGTCTGACTTGACAGTCATCCAGTCCCTCTTCTCAAAATTAAAATCATTCTGCAGGAAGGACAAGGAACTACAATAAGTAATGCGCAAAACACCTAAGTATATAGACAGTCGTTCGTCAAAGCTTGGACGTCTATCATCATTTCTTAGGGCATTCTCCACCTGAAACATGCACTTAACAAACAAGGAAAATAATTCACCTTTGGTGAGAATAAATCATAATTCTTATACAAGCAACCCTTCCCAATTCCATCCAGCTTCTTTTTCATGAGGCAACTGAAATCGTTGGAACCGCAACAGAAGTCCACAATCTGCTCAACAAACAACAAAAACTTAAATCCATTGCCGGCTAACAAAGGAGCTTGTCCAATCTTAGAAACTTCACAAATCATAAATAGCATGATCCTGGCAGATTTACAAGTCACAAGTATTAGGCATCAATTAATCACATTCCAAAGTACAACAGGAGCAACACAGATGACTGTGTTTCCCCTATAAAAGTACTAGCATAGCAGAAAATCAATGAATAAAATTGGAGAATTATAGCCACTTCACAGAATGAGAAAACTATTGTACTCAAAGTAGGTAAGAGTTCCACTCATAAAACATAAGGCCAGCACAGATTCCTACCATATCACCATCTCGAACATACCAATGAAGCATATCGACAATCTGCACATTAGAATCACACACTCAGTCAAGTAAATATAGCAGGTAGAGACACTACAGCCTGATGAGCAGACATGAAATAAGATGCACTTAAGAAAATCACATAGATCATGGTCAAAGGGGGAGGGAAGGTGGTGGGTTTTGAAGAAAAACAGGTCCAAGCACGAAAGTGGATAGGAACCAATAGCCTACTTCTCATGAAAACCCCATTAAGTCAGCACTACTTCTCTTACGATGAGGCAATATAATTTATAGTGATCGACAGTGTTTTTCAGTCATTTTTGTTATTAATTTCAAATAGAATTACAGTGATGTTTCAATATTTCATTACAATGAACAACGAAAATTTCTTAAGCTATTATTCATTATGTCTATCCTAGTGAGAGATCTGTTTACATCCCCAAGAGAAATCACTGCTCACTCAAGTGATCCAACCAGAAGGTGTGCAGATATATCAGCTGTCTTTCCCTACCCCACCATGCCCTGCCCCATGTACATCCCTAAGAGAAATCACAGCTCAAATGATCCAGCAAGAAGGTGCATAAGTGGAAATGTTGAACGATAGCGAGTTGTTTTGTGCTTTTTTTTTTTCTTAGCATTTGTAAGAGGTGAGAATAGGATAGCATTCCATGTATGATCCACTGAACATTAGAAGAAAATAATAGGAAAAAAATTATGCACTCAACTCAACCATGCTTGCGAATTCCTGTGTGGTGATGAGTGATGACACTCTACAATCTGATGATTGGCATGCAAATGCACTTAGAGAATATACCAGATCATGATCAAAGTGAAATCAATGCTGAAAATGATCCAGCAAGAAAGTGAAGACGTGTCATTAAACCTAGAAAGCGTAAATTTTGCCCTTTTTTTTCTTTTACTTCTCTTTGCTTTTGGGAGAGGTGGGAAGATAGCAATTTTATATAATGCATTGCTCCTTAATATAAAATAAAACGGGAAAATGATGCACTATACTATGGCTGCAAATTCTAGAGTGGTGATAACATAAACTCCCACAAAGACAAACAAGTACTTACAAATCTGTCGTATCAAGATATGCAAACTTTTGATCTTCTGAACACTGAGATTCATCGTTAGTCAGTCATCAGTAGACCACAAGAGTTCCTAAAATACATTTTTTTCTGAAGTAACAAGAAGAAGCAGGAGTTCCTCTTTTAACATTCCTGTGTAAACCTTATTTTTTCAAGAGAAGTGATGTAACAGTCGAAAAGAAGTTGAGCCAAAAAAAAAGTGTTGCATAATTGAAACTCCCACTGAATAATCATCACCTGATGACGCCCTAAAGAGCAGTATGTCAGTCAAGTACCTTAGGAAATGGAAGTTCTAAAACAATAACCAAGAAAGAGAAAATGGAACCAGTAGGCAATGATATTAAATGGGGAAAAGCTAACGGACATCACCAACTTATTTTATACTACCTTAAGAAGGAGCTAAAAGGAATGACAAATTAGTAAGAGGAGCTTCCCCATCTCCCCATCCCCCACACCAAACCCAAATTTAAAAGCCCTTAAACTTCAAGGCTTAGTCTTCTTTCTGGCTCACCTTCGGATACCACCAGGCAGAGAGGTAAAATCACACACACTAAGAAATATATCTTCTGACAACAAATATGTTTGAAGGCTAAGCTCACCTCTCTAAGCTTCTCCACTTTAGTAAAGTGGCGACCATAAGACGTATAGCGCATGCCATATAGAAAGGGAGCAAGATATACTCTGAGCTTGCTCTACAAAATAAGAAGAATTCATACAGTTAGGAAAGAGCCCAAAAGGAATTCAACATAAATTTTGAATTTTGGGACACAATATAAGGACAGAAGAACAAGGTAGAAAGCGAAGAGAGGTAAGATTTTCAGCAACCACTGACATAGAGTCCTGTTGAAAGTGCAATGAACACTTGAACCCACGAGAACAACTAATATAAAATGCTAAGACCTAGTTGTGCAGAATCGATTAGTACTTCAGCACTACAAATCACCAAACAGCCATCTAAATATGCAGAAAGAAAGCCAGCTATTTGATTGGAAGACCAGAATCAAACTTAATATTGAAACATTTCTATCCATTTAAAACAAAAGAAACTTAAACCAATCAAACCACCAGTTCCATACTGTTATCTTTAGCCTTATTTATCAACATTCAATCTGATTCAGTTATTGACAAATGCTACTGAAATTAATTTTTTAAGAAAAAGTGCTAAAGAAATTTATATACCAGAACTAATTCGGCAAGAAATGATTGGCCATTAGTCTATGAAGTGATTTTCACGAGAGATAAACCAAAATACTAATTATTTGGATAAAGCAACCAAACACAAATTACAATTATCAAAACCACTATGAGCAAATGCTGATTTCATTACTGCTATATTTACACTATGGGGTTGTTTGGTATTGTGTATTAGAAAAAAATAATACATGGATTAGCTTTGTGTATGTGTATTAGCTTTGAGTATGTGTATTAGTAGTAACTTGTTTGATACACTTTCAGTCTATGTGCATTAGTTATAGACTCTATTGAGTATTGAGGAGTGTATTACTAATACATGAAAATCCATGATATTAGTAATGCAAGGAGATTTAATGCACACATTAGTATGGTTAAAGACTCAATTGACCCTCAAAATCTTCTTTACATCTTTTGCACCATATTTGTGAAGGGTATCTTTGTACATATTATTTTTTAAACTATGCAATGCATGCTATTTTATTACACCAAACCAAACAATGCATAAGAAATAATCTTTGCATAATTAATGCAAGCATAACTAATATATTCTATTTAGAATTATTCTTGTACACCCTACCAAACGATTCCTAATAGTAAAGAGAGATCCAAAATCTTCGGTGAGACGTATATGTATCCTTTTCCATCTTTTTCCTCTACCTTCACGTGTTTCCCCACAAGGGACCACCGCAACTTGTGACCATATATTTACTTTTGGAGGATCTACTCTTTGATAACTTACCTTTTAAGCCAAAGGTCTATCAAAAACAACCTCTCCACCCCACATTATGGATAAGGTTTGCGTACATCTTACGCTCCCCAGACCCCACTTGTGCAATTACACCGCGTATGTTATTCTTATTGTCATACAATATACTCTTTGTTCAGCAATCACACATTGTATAGGTGCAAGGAGGACAAAATGGAGGCTCACCTCTACAGTCCTGTGCGATAAGAAATTACTACTAAAACACAAATGTATGTTCCACAGAGTGTACGTTAAGTTGGCTATGTTGTATGGAAGGGAGTGTAAGCTAACTAATAAACCCTCAAGTTCAAAAGATGAGAGTTGCGGAAATGAGGATATTTAGTTGAATATATGGGCATACAAAAAGGGATAGGATCAAGAATGAAGATATCTAGGACAAGGTGGGAGTGACATCCAGGGTGGACAAGGTGAGGGAAGCGAGATTAAGATTATTCGAGCATGTGAAAAAGAGATGCACCGACGCAAGAGTAAGGACGTGTGAGAGATTAACACTGATGGATTTAAATGAGGTAGAGGTACGGTGCAAAAGCAAATGATGTGAATATATAGGATATGGCGCATCTTTGCTAATCAAGGACAGGATAGGACCTTAGTTAGGAGGATGTGGAAGTCACAAATTAGAGTAGAAAATTAGTAGATATTAAGTGTTGTCCCTCTTATCTATGAGATACACTTGGTGGTAGAAAGTGCATTGTACGTGTTTCTCATTTCATACCAGTACTATTAACCGTATTCTCATAGTTTCTTGTCCTTCAATTTTTCCTACTACTTGTTGTTTTGTTGTGATTCGATTAACGCATTAGTTTGTTGTTATTGTTCCTTTTTTTCTAAATGTCATGCAATGCTTTCTTTATTATTTGTTGTTTTCTTTACTTTGGTGTTTTCTTTTACAAACTGATTTGAGTTGCGTTCCTTGAGTCGAGGGCCTTCTGAAAACAGTCTCACAAATATGCTTTGATATAATATGCTTTGATCCTGTAATACAGTATTCCAACAAATACACATCCCTCAAGAATATCACTATCTTTCTTTGGTTTGAAGAGGCGGGACATTGTTCATCATATCATTTTGTTGCTGTTTAGGGTCAAAAGGTGGCTTATTTAAGTTTCGCACAAACAACTCAACATCCGTACCTCAAGGCAAAACTAGAATAAGCAAATTGGAACTGAAAAGAAGAATGAAACACGTACCCTCCACTTCATTATCTGAGCAAGAAGCCCAGGCTCACAGACAGCTCTTGCATCTTCGACTTTACCCCCTCCATCTAATATTTGTAAAGCTGCACGAATAGCCTGCAAGACATAAACTAGGTCAGATTTTTATGGGAGGTCTCTTTGGGATCTGATTAAATAGGTAACATTTAAGAATCTAGGTTTAACAGAAACCAACATGAAATGTTATTTCTGAAGTACCTCAACAGAACCCTCAACTTTCCCCAAGGTTATAGACTTGTCAAATTTTGACGAGTATGCGTGTGTTGTGGGTACTTTCTGCTTCACTATTTTCTCCATAGTTATGGAGGATTTAACGTCTTTCATCATGGACAATATTCTGCACAACAGACATATATAAGCTCACATCCAGAGCCAAAATTTGTAGCTATGAATCAAAAAAACCATCCTAAGCAAAGGAAAAAGAAGAGCTGAGATATCTCTAGGACCTCAACTGAAAATGGCTATTGACAGAGCTAAATGCTTCACCTGTTCTTTGATGTAGCATCTAAAGTTTGTGAACTGTTTTTCTCCTTTTTGTCAGACTTCACGATCTTGGTTTTCCCCTCTTCACCAGACTCACCGGATTGTGACTCCCTACTAATGAGTGCATATAACTTATCACCCAAAGAGGTTTTACCTTCACTTTTGGTAGCTTTGTTGAGTTTTGCAGACGAACTCTTGTTCAAACTCTTTCTAGTAACATCAATAATTTTTTGTCTTTTGGAAGAATCAGGAAGAGACAGTCCCTCTCTCTTTCTGGAAAAATCAACCTTCACTGCCTTGGATAATTTTTCAACAGTTTCTGATTTTTTAGCAATCACTCTCTTGCCATTAGTCACTTCTGCAGACATTCCTTTAAATCTTCTTAATTGTTCCGATGTTTGTTTCTCCCTCTCACGATCTCCCGGAAATTTGATGTGATCTCTTGAAGGTGTAGCCAGTTCTTCATCAATTTCGTGTTTTCTGAGGAATTTGTTAGAATAAGTCACTTGAAAAAATTAAGACTAAAGGTCACTTGAAATACCAGCTCAGATGGATAAGAGTAAAAGTACAAGTTGGATGTAAGTAACTCACAAACAATAGATCAAAATTCGATTTTTTATAAGACCATCCCACGCCCTTGGCAAGACATCATCCTCCTCCTCCTCCTCCTCCTCATCATCATCATCATCATCATCATTTACTTCTTCATTTTTGCTCTTGTCAAAAACAATTTCCCTGGCAATTTACATAAAACTCGTTACATTTATACACAAGGTACAGTCCACAGAAACATCAAGGAAAACAAAGTACTTAGGCAAGCATTTCCGATGATAGGATGTTGGACACCGTCTACACATGGCAAACTGTAGCTCAGGTTTATCTTTATCTTCTCTTTGTTTGCAGACGCAGCACTGATGCAGAGGACAAGCAAAAGATTCACCAGCAGCAATCTTCTTTTTAAGTTCATCAACCTTCGACTGAGCATCAGGATGAAGCAGTCTAGCAACACAATGTGGATGGTAAAAATGGCCGCAAGTCGCATTAACGCAACGGAAGACCTGAAAACCATACCTGAATTCTGACACCATATCCATGGAAAAAATCCAATTCACAGTACCAACTCAAAGCTAAGATAATTTTAACACAGGGATGCATACTTATATTTGCTTTCTTAATGAAAAAATGCATCATACACAATTAAATGCATTAGGTACTTTGGCTAGCCTTTGTGCAAAATTTCTTTGTTTTTTCCTTCCACGGGGAATAGGAGTCAATAACTCCTATCATAGACAAATGACTGCCGAGTACAAATAAAGGAGGAATAAGATGGAACAAAAACAAAAATAAAAAGACTAAAGAAAAGAAGGAGGTGGCAAACCTAGAGTTAAAAAGGGAGAATTAGGTAGAAGAAGAAGACAAAACAGCACCCAGACAAACCAAAAAATAAGAGTATGTGCTATCTCAATATGCAGCAAGTAATCTTTCCTATTGATTTAACAAGTCAACATTCATACAGGTGGCTAGGAACATCTTCAAACAATTGTACTATTCCACAGCAGGTCTCACAGTACCTCCGCATGAGATGATTGATCAGAAGAACCCAACTTCCCACAAGCATAGCACTGGTGCTGCTGATATTCACAATTCTTACAATAGAAATCTTGATATTTCATTGCCTGTAAGGGGAAACATGTATTAGTAGTAGGAATCAATTTGCTAACCAGAGATGAGGATGTCATCACTAGAAGGGTAGAAATTGATCAACAGAAAGTTCTAAAAATATTTCATTGTTCGGGCAATTTTTGACATACCTTAACTTGAGCTTTTGTAAAACCAAGAGATCCACACTGAGATTGAGCACCATCATCCACAGTAGCATGAAATGACCTCAAGCACTTCCCATCGCAGCTGGTTAGGACCACAAGAGGCATATTATTTGGAGAAGCAGAAAAAAGGCACTAGATAAATAAGCAATTCAGAACCAATACTAACCACCTCTGAAAAGGGAAGCAGGACTACCTACATGGTACTATCAGGTAAATATTGACCATGAAATTACAAAAGTCCTTAGGAGAACTAGGTGCAAAGAAAAATGTCAACAGCAGTAGAACAAAGTAAGAAATCCTAAACAAAGGAGGTGGGCATATCGCTATACATTCAGTTAGACATTGGAATGCCGAGCTTATCAGTCCCTTCTTTAGACTTTATTTCACTAAGATGACGAATAAGCTGAATCAATGGTCTACACCTATGTACAAATCTTTATCGGGGTGCATACACATCATCAACACTGGAACATATATCAAAGAAAATCAGATGAGATAAAACATTTGGCGAACTGATAATTCAAGTATGTGATTGCAGATTCAACGAAAGGTGCAACACAAGGTATATATCAGTGTTGTCTTTGTGGAATGGTAAAGGCTTAGCACAGACCAAAGAAGTTCACCACCATCGTCACATATTGCGCAGAGAGATTCAAAGTGATTGTAATCAGACTCATCATCATCTTCTTCTTCTTCATCGTCATTTATGATCTCATCGACTATAAACTCAGATATTGATCCAACCTGCAAAAGAAACAAGCACCAGCTCAAAAAAAGAACAAAATATTCTATTCCTCAGTTCCTGCTCCATGTCTAAGAAATGCAAGGGAAAGAATATGTACAACCTCGTCAAAGATTTTCTTCTTCTTAGGCTTCTCCTCCATAAATGTAAGTAAAACCTGCATAAAACAAGATCAGTTTCACCTTTGGCTACAAAGATGCAAAATATTTGAGAATACAAACAAAAATAAAAATAAAACAAATTCAAAAAAGAAAACAGACAAACTCAGGCTCAAAAAAACGACCTGATTGAATTCCATTTCAATTCAGACACTAGTTAATTCATCTTTGGAAAAACATTATGTTATTTACAGGATAGATCAGAAAGTACTTTTGAATAACAACATGAGAATTAAATAAATTTGAAGCCTCGCCCCATAATTAATTTGAAGCCAAGGTCAAAGTGGAAAATTTATTAGTGATATCAGTCAAGAAACATGCTAGCATACATTCAGTTTTACCCCCTTATGCAATTGTATTTCAAAGATAGAAAAAAGACGAGGGAAAACCAAACAGATAACAAAAGTGAATTTTATTTTTATTTTTTGAGAAGGATAACAAAAGTGAATTTAGAACCATTAGAATCAGAGATCTTTCCACATACTAACTGAATGATCACAACAAGGAATCACACAAACCTTAGATTGCGCCAATTTTCCATCACGCTTAACAATTTCATTGATAAAAATCATGTGATCCACTAGATCATTCTCCGAAGGCCTGGGCTCATACACACTACAAAAACATAGGTAAGATTCCAGATTTCTCGAGGGAAAAAAACATATATGCTAATATACAAGATATCTATAAGTGAACCTGAAAACTTTAGATAAATGATCCCACAAAGCTCTGCCAGAAGATTCTGGATTTCTTTTCAGGAAGTGTAACGAATGCACAGTGATCAAGATTGACCTAATGGTATCCTGGAAAGCCTTCCTTGGTTTTTCAAGTTTGATCCAATTGTTCTCTTTAGACAAAACTGAAATTGCTGGCTCTATACGCGAAGAATCAATCTTCCATGTTGTGACTTGCTTATAAATCTTCTGAAGGCCATTATCCGCAGTCCCACGCAAGAAAATATGTCTTTTATTCCCATCCAAACTCTCAGTATCATTCCACTGAAATGTTAGCTCCGCAAATGAAACAGGTTCATCCTTATCATCCACAAATTCATAGTTAGAGACAGTACTTGGGACTGCTTCAGCTTCATCATCAGAAGATACCATTCCCACTTTCCCCAAATGCTCTGGGGCAATACCTGACTACATGCCAATGAAATTCACTCAGTATACAATATTAAGAAGCACGAAGTTAAGACATGGCTTCATATAGTGGAAAACTTTTTTTGCAGTAATACAGTAGAAAACTTGTTTTAGACAAAAATGAAGCCTCCATCGATGTGAAAATTTATGATTGTTAGGCATGGTTATATATCTAAAATTGGAGTTCAGCACCAATTTTGAATCCAATCCTTCTATGCCTAGAAAGTATATTTAGAAGTTAGTAAAATTAGTTGGGAGTATTAAAGGTTGATTAGGAGTAACAAGGCGAGACTCATGGACAGCTGAATTTCCTTTATATAATGTGGATAGACTGAATGTCTTTACTCCCAGGCTTATTCATTTGACAAGCAAAGAGAGATTCAGAGTTTTGATTAAGGCAAAAACAAGTAAAATAAACAATTCATACCACCAAAAAAAATGTAGTAGAACATTGCGATTCACCGAAATCATTCACTTTCTAGATAGGCAACCAAAACACAAATTCAAACTACTTCCTTACACTGCCGAATTAAGGCAAAAACAAGCAAAATAAACAACTCATACCACCAGAAAACGTTGTAGAACCATGTGATTCACCAAAATCATTCACTTTCTAAACAAAACATCCATAACACAAATTCATACCAACTCCCTACACTGCTTAATTAAGGCAAAAACAAGGAAAATAAACAATTCATACCACCAGAAAACGACGTAGAACGACGAAATTCACCAAAATCATTCACTTTCTAAGTAAACAAACCAAAAACAGATGCATTCATAAACCGATTCTTTGGTCCAAAGAATTAACAAAAATTAGGGCTCTGTTCGTAAATTCGATGAAACTCCATAGCATAACGTAAAAAGACCGCACCTGTGTATAGAACGAAATCGAAACGACGGCGAAGTCGCCGGAGAATTGCGGTGGCGCGCGCAACGGAGAAACCCTATTTAAGAGTAACCGGTGGTGGTAGAGAGTGAAATGTTAGAAACTCAGAACTAGCAGAAATTTGGCGATACTGACGCCTAATTTGTAGGTCTTTTTTCTTTTTCCTTTTTAGTAGATAAATTTTAATTAATTATTTGTTTCTCCAATAATTAACTTATTCATATCAAATACCAATAAGATATATTTATAACATATTCTCTCCGTCCATCTTTACTTGTTCAATTTATAAAATTAATGAATAATCTACTATTTTATGTCTATTTTATCTTTGCTATTAAATACTCCCTATGTCCCTAATTACTTGTCTATTTTTCCTTTTATAGTTGTCTCTAATTACTTGTCTATTTTGACAAATCAAGAAAGGACAAATTCTTTTTACTTATTATACCCTCAATTAATTGACTAATTATTTTTTTAAATGTAGGACTTTTCATCCACTTCATAATTAATAGGGGTAAATGGTAAACTCACTATGTCATTAATAGATGTGTCAATTCAAAAGTGGACAAGTAATTAGGGACGGAGGGAGTACGATTTATTTTCAATGTTTAGATAATTTATATTTAATAGTTGTACTCTAGTAAACTTACCATTATCATTTATTGTTTATAATCATGTGTTAAGTCAATAATAGACAACTACTGTTAGGTAGAGAGAGTACCAAATAAAGATGAAATTTTAGCAAATCTTTTTTTTTTATAAACAATCTAATAAAGTTGTTAGACAATATGAAATTTTAGCAATGTTTTTTCTTATAAACAGTTTAATAAAGTTGTTAGTAGTGGTGCACGTTTGTTCTTTGGTTCGATTTTATCAAATTTTGATTTGATTCTTCAGTTTCTAGTTTTGAAAAAGTGTGCATTGAATACCAAACTGAATTAATGTAGTTCGGTTGGTTTTTTCAACTAATGTTCAATTTAGTTTAATGTTTATCAAAACAATTGTTCGATGCTAATAAAAATAAATGATGATAAAATCAATGTACAAGTCACTTACAAATTTAAAATCATGCTAAATGATGACATGTCTCACCATGAAACACTTATTACGCTTGAAAGTTCATATTGTCTTAGTTAAGAACATTTTATCTTCAACTATTGCTCGAGGATGAAATACTTATTACGCTTAAAAGACCATATTTGTCTTAGTCAAGAAAACCAAACTTAAAAACCAAAAAGACGAAATCGAAGACCCAAATTAGTTCGATTCATTCCAATTTTTTTTATTTTTTTTATATTTATGTCCACCCTCTACAGTGTTTTATACTATTTTTAGTTGAAGTGTCAATAGATCTTGTTTTATACTATTTTTAGTTGACATGTCAATGGATCTTAGTGTCATTGTCTTAACTAAAAGGTAGAGTCATTATACCCAATATTTATGAAATAAAAATATTATACCCCAATATTTATGAAATAAAAATATTGTTATCGATAAACTTCGATTTTTCTGAACATAAGATAGTCACTGTACCTATTAACTTATATATGTCAAATAGATATGATAAATAAAAGTAAAGATCAACCAATTGATTTCATCACTACTAATTGTTCCAACATAAACCTATGTCTTACAACAATTTTTTGAATTCTCAGCGGCATGTTAGCAGCAGCATTACAAGACATTTCCAACAAATAGATAAATCCTCATTTTATTGCATAAAGAGATCGAATCTTCTACGTGCCCTTGCTATGCATTTTAATTTTCTTGAAGAGTCGAAGGAACAAGACATGCCATAATTCCAACAAGATTTGATTCATCAGAGCAAATGTATAAAATCTCCAACCATTGTTCGGATGTCAAAATTTCAAAATCTCGATAATCCATCATTCGTCACAGATGATTTGCTTCCTTAACGAAAAGAGAGTAGGATTGTCACCATTGTGTAATGGCGAGTCTCAACTACTTGCTACACAGACTCCTCGTTTATGGCTGGTGCACAAAATACCGGTCTCATGTAAGTATCATCAAACCTCCTCCAGTAGGAATGAATTGTATATACAGGTCTTTGAAGCAGCATGGACAAGCTATCCTTCGCGCGTAGTAGATTGGTTGTGGCAGATTCATCAAACGAAAGCAATGGAAGTGTCTCTTTTGAGATAGATGATTCTCTGTCTATACCTCTCCTACTGTCGTTATGCGGAAGCAGATGATGAATAAGTGGCTTTGTCAAGAAGCCAAAAACCTGCAATGAAACCAATGAATTTATGGAGTTACCAAAAGTAAACAAAGGGAGAGGTGACAAATTGACGAGATGGGTCGAATGAGCAGGCCAAACAACAACAACATACCCAGTGAAATCAAACTAGTGGTGTTTGTGGAGGGTAGAAAGAATGTAGACCTTACCACTACCTCGTGGGGGTAGAGAGGTCGTTTTCGAATAACCCTAAGCTCAAATGGACAGGCAACAATGTCAAATTGATAAATGAGTCATCACTCGAGGTCCCAAAGTTTGCTTTGGGAAACATAGTTACGTCAAGAAGGGTCAAATAATTGTCCATAACCCAACCCCGCAACATTACCCGACCTTCTTTCTCTTTTATTCTTCTCTTCGGAAAAATGCAGAGACTAGTAAACTACTATATTTTTTTCTTAAATCATTAGCTAAAGTTCTTCCAAATTTACATGATTCAAAATTTCCAATTTTCTTTTGCATGTTTAGTTTGCATTCCATACACGTAATGACCCAAACCTGTTTAAGCCTAAACTATTTGGCGGAATACCGAGAGATGAGTTGTTTTGCTACTTCTAAGGACCAGAAATGTCAAAATCTCTGTAGTTCTAATAGATTTTACCATACCAAATATCAAAATCTTATCCAATTTGCCATTAACTTACCAGAGTACTGAAGAGCACAACAACTACTGTAGTCGTAACCATTACGGCATGTACTGGATCAATAGTGACACCAGAGAAAGTGAACTGCATTGAAAGTTCATACGTTCAATATTAATCAGACAGACTTCATTTTAAAACTGACCCATATCGTGGGAAATGCTAAGGTACCTGCTTGAACGCCAGGGCTATAGAAACCGCCCCTCTCATAAGACCAGCCCACCAAATTACTATCTGATAAAATAGCACACATGACACAGCGCACATTTTATTTCAAGAAATAACTAGCACGTTACCTGATGTTTGAATGTTATTGGCGGCGTTCTTGTAGCATTTCGATTCATGAAGTTGGAAAGAACAGAGAGAGGGAACACAAAAGCAGCACGCCCAATAGCCATCAACACGAGCACAGTAATATATATTCCCATTGAAGTCCAAACACTACCAGCGAGACTGGATATAAAAGAGTCAGCTTTGTTTTGCTGATTCTAGAAGGATTTTCAGTCAGGGAGTTCAAAAAATAAATATATAGTGCCTATGAATTTGAACTTGGAACCTCAAAGTAAATTTTAAACCACTAATAAGTCAATCTCATGTCTTGTGCTCAGGTCCTCAGGATATTCAAAAGCTATATATACAGTGTAATTTATTACCGAGGAAGTTCAATACCTTCCCGACCCCCTAGATCCTCCCCTACCCACAAGGACATTGTTCACCAAATCAGTCAAACTCTATTAAGTTAAAAGCACTAAACATACACACTGAGTTCTTTTAATTGAACACTCAAAGAGAAGTTATCTATCTCTTCCTTTTTATACGAGAAGGTTGTGGCCCAAGCCTAGGATGAATTGATAACTAAATATAAATCAATAATAATTGAATGATAACATTGAGTTGATATCTTACCTCTGTTGGCTCATTTTCCACTTTTCAATGTCCAGCGCATCCATCCCCACGTACAAAAATATGAATGTTTCAGCAATGAAAGACATAGCTTCAAATGCATGCCTGTGGTCCAAAGTATATATCATCTCAATACATCATCATACTTCTCCGTGGTGGCTCAAGATAATTAGTAGCCTAAGTCTAACATCTAATCTTCTAGACTTTTATTGAAAAACTTAACTTTTTCTATGGTCTAAACTATATTAGTAATAAGAAAGGGGAATACTATGTAAGTTTGAGGGCTCTTTTGTCATTTTGGCTTTATCTTATAGTTTTTGGCCTTAACTTCTTGTACCTTTTTTAATCTTTCAGAAATTATTTGACAATTTTATCCCTTGCTTATGCTTATGTGAGATGAAATGACACTTATATATATATATACCAAAATATTTTCTAATCTTGTGGTCCAAAAAAGAAAGAAACATTGTTCAATATTTCGAAACAAACTAAAAAAAAAAGACAAATAAAATGAAAGACACAATACAATTTTTTTTTTGGTTAAAAGGGACTTGTAATAATTCTATTATTGCTAAAAGAAAAAAAAAGAGGCACATCAAATTTGACGGCCTAAGACGGAAGTCTCATTTTTAAAGGCATTAAGTCTCCCCTAATACGAGCATAGGTCAAAATTGCAGAAAATATATGAATGGCACCTTCATGCATACCTCGTAGTGATTCTTGAACTATCAGTCACATTATGCCATGCATAGTGAGACATCAAGATTCCGGAAAAGAAGACGGTCAAAATCCCACTGAGGCTCCAAAGCTTTAAACAACATAATCAGTTTGTAAATACCATGAGAATACTTAAAAATATATGAAAATAGAATTCGCAGACGAAACTAGGATTGAACTATATGGTGCCTAAGCTCGGGATTCTACCACGTCTCATTTGATTTATTGGTTTGAAATCAATTATGTGTACTAATTTAGTGCTTTCTCAACACATACATGTAAACACAAAACAGTATAGTACAAGTAATTACTATACCTCAGCCAACATGTAAGACAGATATGCCATCAGAAGCATGAGAGATATTTCACGAACGGTAGAATGTCTGCACAGATATGAAACATTTAGAATTTATAGGATAATGTAGATTCTGAGCTTCCATATATGAATACAGAAACATCAAACACGAATTTTACCTTCCGAAATATAAGCCCTTCAGAATGTATGATGTTATAAGTCCAGCCTGCATGCAGAAACAGGACACATTCAGCAAGGCTGTTTGCTCGTGGCACTTGTGCTCCAAGGAGCAGAACACATTTTAAGATAAGTAACTATACA